GTTGTTGTTAGTTAAAACTATATCAGAAAATTTAATAAAATAATATTTCCTAACAATTTAAATAACAACTATAGATATTTTTCTGTTAAAATAACCTTTTTTTTTCTATAAATTTATTCAATTTTATTAGTAAAAATATAAAATAATCTTGTTTATTTAACAGTGGGAAGTATACAATGTCGTGTTTTTATATTTAATCTTTTAAAGATTTTTTTAAAATAGTTTTCCTGGAGATTTTTTTAAAAATTTGTTAAATAAAAGAAGTTAAAAAAATATATAAAATTTATACTTTGCTATCTGTTATGTATGATGCAAAAATTATAACTGTCAAAAACAATCTTTTGCTGCATTAAAGTTAAGGTTTTATTTTTAAGGAAAGTTTATGTTAGCGCTATATTTGAGCATCTGTTGAGAATATATCGCCGTAAATACTGTATAAAAATAATTGAAAATATTATTATTTTCCTACATTCTGAAATTTTTATCAAAGTTGATACGTTACTTAATTTTTATTCGTTACTTTTAACAGCATAAAAGACTTTGAAAGTATAAATACTAGAATTTTAATAAGAAAATTAAATTATAGAAATAGAAATATATAAAAAGTTATTTAAATTTAAAAACATTTAATTTAAATTAATTTATAAATATTTTACTTTTATTACATTTGTAGAAAGTTGTAATTGGTTTTCTAGAAAAACAGATGAGAATAACTACAGCATTATTCTCATTTATTAATAAATATATCATTTAATTTAGAAAAAGTTTTCTATTAAGAATGTTTGCTTAATTAATCAGCATCTAAATTTTGTTTTATAAAATATATATATTAGATTGTGTTTAAAGATTTCGATCGATTCGATAGAAATGGAAAATTGAATATCATTATATACAAATATTCTGTTAAATAACATTTAATTATAATTAAATCGATATCTATTTATATTTAATATTAATTTATTATATATAATCTATTTTTAAATCATTTGTCATAAATTATTAAGTAAAAATAATTATATATTTTATATTAAAGCAGAATTTGTACATTATCATTCCCTTTCGTTGTTATTATNTTAGTTTTGGTTGCTATGCCTTGACTCTGGTCCGGCATAGTACACAGCCACCGGTTTAAACCGAGTATTACCCACTAAACCCAACATAATAATAATAATATACAGGGTGGCCCAAAAGTCAGTAAATCATTGTAAAACTAAATTATTGTCTTATTCGAATACTTAAACACTTAAAACAATTTCATTTCATTTCACAAAGTTAATCATATTTTAGCTAATAATTCGTTTTCTCAAGTGTGCTAGAACACATTACATGAAACATGGTTTACTGAGTTTTGGACCACCCTGTATATAATTCATATTGCACGAATATGAAGATAAAATAATTAAAATCTTTCGCTTTTCTTTTTACGAAAAATTACAAAAATAAATTCTAATAAACAAAATTTTAATTATGATATCATCAAGAGACCTATAACTTACAACAAAACAAATCTTAAGAAAATTTCTATTGACAAAACTCTATTTGAAGTAAATTAAAGCATGGAAATTCATTTAAAGTAGAACGTTTTATAACATAATAAAACATTATTTAATTTATTTTGTACAGTAAATTACTATAAATTACAATAAATTTATTTACTTTGCATTAGAGCGAAAATTTTAGTGAATAAGAATTTTCTTAATTAATATTTTTATAGGTAAATATTTGTGTAGGAAATGTTTAAGTAATAAAGAATAAAATCTTAACATTTCCTATCAATAAACGTAAGAGTTTGATGATTTAAATTGTTAAATTAATTACTGAATTTATTTACTATTTAAAATTGTTGATTACATCAAAACGATTAAATAATAAAACAATTTTTTATAGTTTTAAATGCTAAAAATATTAATAAGATGCATTACTTTTAAATTACATTATAGAACGTAATTTACATATTTTTTATGTAGTATAGTTAAGAAATATATCTTTCTCTTGGGTTTCGTGAATTCATTCGATTTACTGATTTATTCAAGTCCAACTGCAATGTTTACAATTCAAATTTTATTGACTTTTACTTACTGAAAATCTTCAACTAAATCAAAATACAAAATTTTCATTAAATAATACCTTTTTTTCCTACTTTTTCTTCTTCTTTTTCTGAAGTTCCTTTCTCTAACCACGCTGATCTTGTTTGTACTTTAATGCTTCAATTTAAGGTACTTCTTAGATAAATTTGTTGCTCGTTGCAAAACTTGTATGCTCCATTATTTTTATGATTTATAGTGTCATTTTTTTCCTATGACGTCTAAGAAGTGAGACTGGTGATTTATATTTTCATTTTACATTGGATCTAAGGTTTTACTTTTTCAATGATCGACATAAAAATAAGCGTCACAAAATGTGTTTTTCTTTTAGGTGAATTGTATCGAAAATTGCGATCTCTTTACTCACCTTTCACCTGTCTGATGGAAGATAATATAAAGTCTACTGGATAAGTTTGAATTATGGGTTAAGTGGGTGAATTATGATATCTTAAAACCAAGTATCTTTAAGTATCCTTTGTCGTAAATGTTGCATTTTAAAGGTCAAAAGTGATAATAAAACGAATAATTTATAAAGAATTAGGCTATATACCTGTTTTATTATACTAGCAAGTTTTCTGATGTATCATGTAAAATTCATTAATTATAAAATTTATTGTGCATTAAAAAAGGAAGAATATTTTAATTATAATTAAAGAAAATTCTTATTTTCTTAATAAACGAAAACAATTTTTTCTCTTTGATGTTGAAATTATTTAAAGAATAATTTACTTGGTCGTTTTTTTAAACATTGCGATTATTAAATAAAATTTTAAAATTATAAACTTAAAATTACAAGTGAGAGCGTTGAGTAAAAATTAAAAAAACACACAAAAGTTTACAAAAAATTTCAAAGAAGTTATTAAATAGATATTTTAATATTTTAAAGAACACAATAAATTCTTGTAAGGGTTTTTGAAATTGTATTAATATAATGAATATTAATGTTTAATTTTGAATAAAAAATTTCATAAAACTTTTTCTTTAACGTTATTTTTAAAAAGTAGAGTAAGGTTTATCGAACAAACCCTAGAAATTTATAAAATTATAAAAGAAATATGAAAAGAAATGCATTCAGTTTGTTAATTTTTAATACATTTTTATAAGATTTATTTGTCTTAAAATAAATGAAATTTGTTGAATTGGAATATGTAATTATTTTTATTGTTTGAATGTTTTCTAAAGTTTTCTTTTGTTTAAATTTTATTTTATGCAAACTGTTCGAAAGCAAAATTTTTTCATTCGTTTAGCGCCAAAGATATGTGTTTTTTTATGAATTGCACAAAGAGACACTCGAAATAAAGACGTATGAAGTTGGAACATCAATTTTAAACTTAATTGAGATTAATAAAGTGTAGATCAAATGTTCTTAAAGTAGTTGTGTTTAAAGAAAATGTTCGCCTTGAGATGCTAAAGTAACTGCATTCACTTTGTAAAAATTTCTTTTAAAATGTAACAATATTTTTTATTTTTGTAAAAGCTTTAAAACTGATTGGAAATAAATCGCAATAAAAGAAATAGTAAACACTTTGTCTCAATTACAATTTCTATCGATTTTTGTAAAGAAAACACTGCCGAAACTTCCATTTAACGTATCTAGAAAAACAGATGATGGATTAAAGAAAAATAAATAACTGGATAATACATATATATATTTTTTTTCTTCTGTAAGTGTTTTTTTATTTCCGAGAAGAAAGAAATGGTAATGAGAAAGAAATCATAATTAAATCGTCACTTATCGTCAAGTAGGAGGATGGGGCAAATACATTTTGTATGAGGTAGCAAAGGTGAGTCAATCGACTTAAGTTAGACTTTGCAAACACATTTCAAACTCGGTCTGACAACCTATGCAGTGACAAAAGAAGTTAACCCATGGGAGACTAGTCACATGCGCAACAGTAATGCCCTCGACGTAGCAGCCTATTGCTTTACTGTTTGTTTAATGCCTAGGGTCGAGAGAAAGAGCACGTGCAATCTACAGTAGAAAAGGTTTAGCCTGTCAAGAAAAATCGATGCCTGGAACGTATAGACCTACCTCAGAAGAAACGCATTTCAGTTCGCTACTCCCAATTCATCGCAAATCCCTTTAAAGAAGTGAATAGCAGAGGACACGGTACTCTATATGGTCTTTCTTACAAAACGAACTCAAAAGACGCCACTGATGAAAGAAGAGAATACCAACGTTCGATAGACAGTGCATTTTTATGTTCTTGCTCTGAAAAGACACCTTTACAATATGTTGTGTCAGTTTTACGTTTACTATCCACGTATATTTGAACTCGTTGATTTTGTTTAGAAAAGATTAATGATACGCTTTTTTCGTTTATAAAAATAAATTTGATAAGATAAGAGTGAATTTTTAAAAAATAAATAAATAAAATTTCGTACACGTATGATTCTAAATAGGCAAATTATTGGAAAATTCACTTCACCTCTAAAAAAACATAAAATATTTTTAGAGTTTATCGCTGAAAATAAACTCTAAAAAATAAATAAGTAAACGAAGAAGTAGTAAATAAAATACTGTAAATAAAAATATAGCACTTCGAAAAATGTCAAAATTAAGAGTGGAATTTTTAAACTTAATAGGTACACCTTTTATTAAATTTTAATAATATATATAGGCCTATAATGAATAAAGCATTAAACGATATACAGTAAAATTTTAAAACGGATAAAAAATTTTGCATGTTTAATGATGTTTAAAGAAACTAACTCTTTAGGATTATCTTAATCACAATCAAAATAAATCCATTAAAGTTTTTAAAGGAAATTTTATTAAGATAAGACTAAGAAAAGCTCTATTTAACGATAAGATAATTTATTATGAAAGGAATGAGGCTAAATATCGGTTTCCAAGTTGCTAACAAAGCTTAATTACATGCTCCATTGTCGAGCTTTATTCTATACAAGATCGAGTCATTCGCTGTATTGACACCTTATAGAATACAATTTGTAGCATGAAATGGCTCAGGATTAGTTATTAATTGATCAGTAAACATCGAGGAGGCTTAGAAAATAAGAGAAGCTGATTGGTTGCGAAGATACAGTTCTGCCAGCAGGTTGTCGATAGTAGTACAGTCAGCAGTCAAGAGCTTGCTCTCGTACAGTGTATATCTACCAGGATCCATGTCTCAGTTTAGCGTGTCACTGTGCTTTTACCTCTTTCATCGTAAGTATAAAACAGTCAATTTAAGAATGTTTACTTAACTAGCAAACCTTTGGTATCATTTTATCCATTAAAAACTTATTTTCAGTCTGTTTGGCTAAATTCGAGATGGAAAGTCCCACTATCGTTCGTGAGCCTCCTATGCATGTTAATTTCTATAATACAACCGGCACGATTATCCCTTGTGTGACTAAATCCACTCCTCTTCCGGAAGTGAGGTGGACGAGTAGTGACGGTATCGCAGTCAAAGACATACCTGGACTGAGACATGTGAGATCTGATGGTTCACTCGTCTTTCCTCCCTTCCCGGCTGAAAAATATAGACAAGATGTACATTCCGCAGTTTACAGGTGTGTGGCATCAAACGTGCTCGGAGTTATCGGAAGTAGAAACGTCAACGTGAGAGGAGGTAAGAAAAAGTTCAAAGTTTATAATAAAATTACAAAAAAAATTCGAAATTTTGCTACTTTAAACGTGTCAATTAGATCCTTAAATACGTTTATTACTTAAAAAATATTCAGAAAAAAAGAAACCCTAAAAAATTGATGAAATATTAGCGTTATTAGCAATTAAAATGACGTCGAATATATCAAAAATGAAGTCTGTTGAGTTTCGAAAACTTTATAAACATATCTTCATAACGCATCAATATTTATGCTTTATAAATATTTATAAAGTTGGAATTTTTTTTAAACTTTAGTGAAAACAATTAGTTTGATTTCCATACTACATCCATTATCAATAGGCAGTTATAGAAGAATCTGGTTACTAATCATTACGAGTCAGACCACCAATCAATTCAATTTGGTTTTAACTTTTCTTGAACTCTTCAATAAAGATGAGCTCGTTTTGAATGTATTTATGTCAGATAAGAGCAGTTGCCTTACTTTAAAAGAATTTATGGCTTAAAATACACTCGACCTTTAAAGTATCGTGTTAAATGATATTGGAATTTTATTACGTTTTATGTATACATATTTCAATATTATTTTGACATATTTTTTGTCATATTTCATATGAAATAAATATATTATGTATAAAATTACTTGTAACTTTTATCAATTAGATTTATTAAGTCTAGTTTCACTTAATCACCATAATTAGAAATTAATTCAATTGCATTTAGATTTCAATTATTAAAATTAAATTAATTATTTAAAGTTTGAAAAGTTGAATTTTACTTTTCATAAATGAAAAGTTCTAATTTGTTTTTTTGTCATTGTATGACTGTTTATTTTTTGAAATGTAGCAATTAATTTTCTTATGAATATTGAATTAGAATTAAGATAGCCACGAGGGATTATTGCACATGAAAAAATAAGCTTTACAAGCAATTGAATGCTTATAATTAGATTAAAAAATAATTTATTGTCGGAAAAAACTAGCAATTAAATATGTAAAACACGTTTTTATTATCGTAAATTATAAAAAAATAAATATTTAAAAAGTTGCAGAGTGAATGTTTTTCCAATGAAAATAAATTAGCCCGAGGTTTGGTAATATTCACTAATGACTTATAAAATTGAAGCCATAGAGAATGTCCATCAGCATAAAATGAAAAATATATGGATTAAATTACTCTACACAGATTTTTATTAGAATTATAATCAAGTTAATTTTGTAGTTAAAGAGTTTAAAAAATGTTTTAAATGCTTTCAGAGAATCTGAGTATAATTATTTCTAGCCTCTCAAAAATAATATTCAGCTTAACATTCTAGGCATAAAATTATAATTTATAGTAATATAAAATATCTAAAATGTAATTATTTTTTTTCAATAAATTTTTATTAATTTAAATTTGAGTAAATTATTAATAAATTGCGAGATGAATAACTAATTCGGTAATTCTGTTTCTTGATGCAGTACGAGTTCCGTTATCCTTTCAAAACTAATTTAGTTTAATCGAAAACACACTATTCATTTTTTTATTTCTTGACAGTATTAGCTTTTTCTATTATTATTTGAATTATAAATGAATGAAAAATAAATAAATCTTTAACTTTCTTATTACTTATTGCATTAAATGGAATTTTCGGACTTAATATTAAAGCAAACAGATAGAAGATATTGGGTATCAGTTCACGTATTGCAAAGAAATAACTGGAAAGTCTGAAGAAGTTGGATGCGAGAGAAATTTAGTTTAGTGAACAGAGCAAGAGGTTAGTGAAGCTGTACAGTAAGACGCGAAGGACGTCGTGATCTGAAGCACAGAATGAGACCTGCAACGACAGGAGAGGGGACCGAGAACCTTGCCATTTCTCATTGAAATTCTGACAATATATCTCTGACTTATTGCTGATATACTTGGAGTTTGCAAAAGCCTTTTTGCATCAAATATTAAAGTAGACAGCGTATTTATATAAGAAAAATTTTTCAAACATCATGCATCGTAGTAATGAAATATTTCAACAATCGATGAAAGATACTTCACGATATGATATTTAATATTTGTTTTTGAATAATATACTTATATGCCAGTATTATTTTTTCTTTTAGCTATGGGTTACACACTTTTATATCAATAATATTTTATAATATACATTCTTTTAGTATTACAATAATATATTATCTAATCATAGTGATGTATTACAATATCATAATCTTTTATTCATCGCATATCACCAATATTTTTCTAGCTTATTTTTCTACTGGGCCCGTTATTTTATAACGTAGATATCATTAATTTTGGTACTTCTTATAGTCATGAAATTTCTTCAGTTTCCAGCTTTTACTTTCAGTTAACGTTTTTTTTCCGTCATACACAAATGTTAACATACTTTATATATACAAATTTATCTTAATAGCTAAAAAAGAAACACTTACATACGTACCAAATATTAGGTTTAATCATTCTGCATGTAAAATTCATTAAATAACTAATCATATATAAAAATTTTAATTGAATTTCCACTCGACAAAAATTGCTAATAAATTAAAATCCAAACATATTAGGATAAACGACGACTTCAGTATATTTATCTTCTTAGTTAGATAAACAGATAAACCTGATAATCTTTGTAATTAGCTATTTAATGACGAAAGTTTCTATGGATGTTCATTAAGCAAATCCCCGAGTTTATAAACGTGAATGATATATTTATGTTTAGAATTTATTCGTGACTTAACAAATGATATAAAATAAATTTTATATTACTTTAATTAAAGGTAAAATATTTATTTACTACGACAAAATTCTACAAAAATTACAAATTATGCTAATATNAAAGCCAAAAATATTTGTTTTCTATTTGATTTTAAATATTCAGTCTCTGTAAATTTCTTCCTTTTCTTTCTGTAGATTAGAAAAATAATAATTAATTTATTACCATTAAATATATAATAGCATAGATTGAAATTTTTCTATTACACACATTATTACTTTTTTGATCGTGTTTATAAACAAAGATGTGTTGTACATAATAATTAATTAAAATGTATGTATGAATATAAATTGTATATATACTATTAAAAAGTTGTTTATCGTTAATAATGCTAAATTCTACATCACCAACAACCCGAAGCTAATAGATAAACTATTAAATGTTTAACTATTACAATACAAGATGCAACATTACAGAGAATAAATAAATAAATCGGGCGTAATTTTAAAAATATATATATTTTGCTTTTTTAGTTACAACAGTAAATAAAGTTTAATGAAAAATAAAATACCATCTAGCCTTATACTTTTAAAACTTTAATTTATTTATTTTGACTTTGATAAAAATGAAAGTCAACTAAGTTAAAGTACTCTGTTTTAAGTTTCAGAAGTTCTCCATTTTTTTCATTTTTTTTTTCATTCTCTTTCATTTCTCTGGAAGAGAAAATTTTTTCGTTTTATTTCAACTTGTGGTTTGCTGAATTCCGGAAACATCTTGACTGAATTATTCTTATATATTTAGTTTAAAAATTAGTTTTAATATATAAATTATTTTAAATTTATCATTTGTTTTTATTTCATATCTAAAATAAATGTAAGTTTTTCACGGAAAAAAATGTGTATTTTTTACGCGCAAGCTATCCATTTTCTTCTAGAAAATCGTTAAAGTTGTTAGCTTTCATCTGCCTAGAAAGAAAGCATATATATCCAATTACATTGGACGTCCGCAAAAAGGAAAAAACAAAGAAATGTCTGTATTTGAAAATCATTGAATTTTTGACTGGCTGGCGGTAAAGGACACACGAAAAAAATGAAAAAGAAACTTTATCAAAAGGAATTTTTTGTGATTTTTGTATCTTGTAGTAATGTTCACATTTCATCTTAAATTATAGTTTGAGTCTGCCAACTGGAGGAAGAAGTCTTCTCATGTCAGAAAGTTTCAAAAAAACTGTACGGTTGGAGGTTGACGTTATTTTCCCCCTTTTCTATTTCTTTTTTCCCCTATTTTCATTTCGATATTTTTAAAAGAAAGACAGAAAAAGTCGATAACTATTGTGCATACTTAGGCGAATTTCAATTACCGAGTCGTGTTTTTATCCAACGATTTTATCGGATGTATATATTTGTGTCAATCACTATATAAATCAAAGCAGCAGATTTAAAATATATTGCAACGCTTAGATTATTTATCATAGATAGCATCGACTTCGGTATCTTTAACGTACTCGTAGTATTATAATTGTTAGTGATTTTTGTCTGGAGTAATATAAAAAGTATTAAGGTATAGAAGAAGAGATTTTCCTTCTGGCTATTAAGAACAGGGTATTTTTGCTAGGTATACATCAAAATTTTTACGGCACTTTAATGAAAAAGTTATGATAGATAGTGATCTTCTTAAGAAGACTTTTCTTATATTTTACGCTTGGCCGAGATTTTTCGTATAACGGTAATTCAAGACTTTTCACATCAATTTGATGACTTTGCAAATATTTTTGAGTAATTTAAAAATATATGTTTAAAAAATATTTGGAACACGTGTGATATTTGCATAAGCAGCAAATAATGGCCATATTTCATTCTATGATATATTAATGATTTAAACTTTGGCTATTACATTCCCATCAGCGCGTCCTTTTTTATTGAAGAAAAACGCCACACAACACGGTAATGATTATTCAAAAAACAACAAGACCAAAGTTTGAAGCTGTCTCTGATGTTTTAAAAATGATTTTTAAGAGAGGAAGAAAAATTTTTTAAGTAAATGTTTATAAATAGTTTTTTTTGTATGTAGAAATGTTGAAGAAAAATAATGCTGCAGCATTGTACGCGATACAGAATCAATAACGGCATCAAAAATCAGTGGAAGAAATTGCCTCATTAAGGAGACATCTGGTCGTTCTTATCGTCATATATTTAAAAGTCAATATGTCATCAGTTCACCTTGTACAAGATGGTCATGTTCTAATTGTAGTCGCCTCGGAATTCTGTGATGGATAAGGCTTTATTTTCTATATTTTTCTCGTATTTGT